AAAGAGAAATATTAAGGCAGATTGTTTCTCTGAAAGAAAAGCTGCCCCTGGATGGAGGAACAGTTGATCCTCATTAGCAGGAAGTGGCAGGCATTTGGACGATACGCTGAATAATAGTAAAATGAATAATCGCCACGTCCCTCTGTTAAGCAAAGTTGCCTCATTAGCTTGAGGCGTCCTTTCAAACAGGGTATTTGGTGTACTTATCTTAAAACCTAGACCAATTAGTTCTGAAGCTGTTCTGAAAACGGAAGACAGCCTGAAAACAAAGACACAAGTCATGATTTTCTCTGTCCATAAAGTATAAAAAAAAAAAAACACAGTTTAATCAAGCCATCAATGTTGTCTCCTTCCCTTGCTCTTTTCTTCTCCATGCTTCATTGCTGTTTGAATTTGCCTTTTTCTCTGCATGTCTGTGATAGAGAGACCACTGAATACTTGAGATGGACATTTGTATAATTTTTACTTAAAGCCTCAGGGAACCTAAATCCATGTTCTCTTTCTAAGTAGGTTAATCGTTTTTTCGTTCAAAAACCAAACTGGCTGATCTATTTTATCAACATTCTCCTCTCTCTACGTAAACTGGACAGTCCTAATCTTGAGTAGAGCAAAGTGTTACCAACCATGTGTTGTCCTGCCCACACGACTTGTAAGATATATAAGTCGTAGAAACTTGTGACAGCAGTCTCATGTTTGGACTAAGAGGTGTCAGTCATGCATATCAGAATATTAGGACCACACCCAGACAGTTGTCATGTAGGTCTGATAAGCGATTTTGTAGCGGTGTTTTATTATTATGTATATTTTTTAGTTCAAACTTTGCTGTAAATTTAATGTTCGCTTATTACGTGCAGCCTAGTATAGAAGGCGATCTGTACGAGAGTTTCATAGATTTCTTGATTTGCTTACATAGTGCTACCAGTTGTACCTATAGAGCAAATCAAGCAGTTTACAGTATACACATTTGTCATCTTTAAAAATATTCTACGTGTATACAAAGCTCAGTTGAGATGTCACCATTTTTGTTAAAGCTTGAATCACTAAATGTTTCAATGATAGTTATCGATAGTGGCCATGTAATTGATGGGTAAAGTTTATAGGTGAGTTAAGGTGATGGAGGGATGACATACTAATTCTGATTATCGTTGTTGTTGGAAGAAAACCTCATATCTCCAAAATGGTAGCTTTTTTACAGGAGAAGGAAAAAACCTTCACTTTTAATGTAAGTCAGTGGAACCAGACTGTTTTAGGTCGCTTCTTTTGGTCCATTCTTAATGAAATTTACACACAGTGTAAAGGACGAGGTTTTCCTCTGACAGCAGTGTTATCATGAGGTGCAATATCAGGTGTTTGTGCCTTGCCATTCTCTGCAATTAAACTTTTTATACGCTGTCAGAAACATTTAAAAGTGTTGATTAATATATATTTTTTTTGTTACTGATGCACAATGATATTGGAATCATGTCATCAGCATCAGACAGATATTTAAATTTGAAGGCTATTTTAAACCAATATTTGAAGACAGATCCGTAAGACTGTTTTGGTGATGCTGGGTTACTGTGATAAAATGTTATTCTTTTGACTGCAGTTATAACCCTATAGAAATATCATACAGGGAGATTCACTCGAAAGAGGCCCTGAATATTCTGTTGTAACTCCCGTTAGGATGAAGCAATCTGAACCAAAAAATACGCTGCTTACCTTGACGTATGTGTAATCGATTGCATTACATGTGATGCTGGAAGTGATCTCTGTTTACTGCCAGACACACAAAGGGGTATGGGGGTACGCACCCGAAAGTTGTAAACGGAGGTTAAATGTCATTCGGGGCCTCTTTTGAGTGAATCTCCCTGTACTTCTTTGTAATGCTGATCCGGGTGAATTTAGTCTCAACTTCTATGTTTTTAAAAAATTCTACGTTAGATATATTTTTATGTCAGCATTGGAAGACATACGTGAAAAATATTGGATGTCAACATCGCCCCATTATTCCCACATCAGTGCATCCCTATTTTAAATTCCCTACTACACATGCTTTATACAAAATACCTGTTGGAGTAAAAGTATGCTGATGAGTTATCTGTGTATTCAAATAACCATGTCCATTCTTGTTGGACCACAGTAGACAGCTGTAGATGTTGTAGCAGACTCTACAACCTGATGTTTAAATGTAAAGCACATTCTTCACAGCCTTCTGCTTGATTCTACCTGTCCTGCCCCAAGTTGGAAAAAAAGTTCGGCTAAGAGCCCAGAAATTAGAGTATGCACCCACTCAGACTGTATATTTTGCATGCCTGTACTGGAACGTATTGTTCTAACCTGAGGAGTGTAGTGCAGAGCTGAAAGCAAAGCAGTAATTAAGTAGCTGGTTTATTTGAAATGGCACCTTGCTGAGCGTAGCTTCAGGATCCTCACCACCAGCCCTGTTTGCAGTGGAAGAGAGCAAGAATGTATCACCTCATATTTAGGAGCATCTGAGCCTCCATTGGAATATTCATGTAGTCCTCCACCCCTTTGCCATCAACAGCATACAGTATCTCAGTACTGTACGTGTCCTCTACCTGGGGTTAATGCGTAGCTGATGAGTGATGGAGAAGGCCCGTCAGCACCATAGCGTTTGAACACACTGTTGGACTTCAGCCTGAGAATAGCAGGAGTTTGGTCCCAGTTCAGAAAGCTCACCGTAAACATGATTATTCAGCAGTGCTTGCGTGTCTCATATATCATCCGTTGCTGTCAAATTGCTGACTCCACCAAAAGGGGGAAGAAAAAAAGTTGGAATTCGGTTGTGACTCAGAGGCCAGAGCTGTTTGTGTATACGATTTCTCTGTATGGTTCATGACCTATGTTGAGTTATAGAACGACAACTTATTTGTCTTTCGTATGTGAATAGCATGCTGAATTGAACTGTACCTGTATCAAAACTGTTAACAGAGTAGGTGTTTGCTATTAGCTCATTGGGAAGGGCCACAAATCCATTGCCGTTTAAGAGCGTTCTCATGATTTGCACAACTTTTTGGTTGTGCTATGACCAGTCTTGTCCATGGCAATAGCACATTGAATGCAAGCGTAAAATCAGCTATAGTAATCAAGTTACTGTAGTCAGCAATTTGCTGCTCTGCTGGCTAAACCTGCTTGTTAAAAATAATTGGACAGTCATTAAATTTTTCTAGTGTTAACTCATTTGGACATTGTTAGATTTGCAGTGAAGTAATGGGGTGAAATATAAGCTTTAATTCGAACGCATTTACCTTGGGATCACCAAGGTACGCATTTACCTTGGGATCACCAGGGATCGAACTCGCGATCTCCTGATGATAGGGCCAACGGTTGCGCCACTCGGGAGCAGAAGTAACTTTTAAGAAGAAAAAAAATAAGGTTTTTATATGCGAATCATTTGTTTCAGTGGCTGGGTTGTGGATGTGAAAAGGTAGCAGAAGATCTGTGGATGTGAAAAGGCAGCAGGAAAGGGTGAACCATATAGGAATTCCAGCCGTTTATACCATCTACCCATTCCAGGGATTCCTAAGTAATTAGGTAAATTTACATAACAGTTAAATAAATAAGATGTTGGTAGATCTCTAATACAGCTTATGCATTTTTCCAATCTCTGTGGTCTGATTTTGAGGTTTACCAGTGGTTTACGTTGTGGTGTTAGGCTGCATATTGTTCTTGTTAGGGTATTCTCTAGCACACCTTTACTATGCTGGATGTTCACCTGTTCAGTATTTTTCAAATTAAAGCATTTCTTTCAGTAGTTCTGTATACTGTTTCCAATATTCCTTTCATCCTCTGCTCTGGTCTTCTGTAGTCGGCCAGATCATTTTCCTGTTCTCAGTTCACCAGTTGCTTCTTAACAATATGCCAAATAGTTCATTGTTCCAGACATTTTTCCAGATCTTTTTTGTCAGTGATTGATATAATTCTGATTTGTCTGCTTTGGTCTTTATGTTGAGAGAAAACAGCAACAGGCTCTCCAGCCAATAATGCACTGACATCCAGTTGTCTAAGAAACAGCGTAGTGGCCCATTGTCCAGTACTTATGGTCTCCTACCTTTATGGGGCTGTATAAATGGGCTGTGATTCCTGTGTGGTTAGCCCTGTATACAGTACTGTGCAAAAGACAGAGGCCAACCTTCATTATTTAATTTCCATTAAAAATAAAAATTAAGTACAACTTATTTTTCAGGAGATATTTCTGAGGAGGTCAGATAAAAGATAATCCACTTGCGTAAGGATGGGAAAAGTTCCAAAAAAAGTTCAAAAAAACATTTGAAAGATCCAGAGAAAATGGGACTCCTAACAATGGTGCAAGGGGGAAAAAAATACTGCAGGTGTTTGTCTGTTCCTCAACTCTGAGAAGACAGCCCAATGCTATGGGTCTGAAAGGATATGTAGCTGTCAAGAAGCTGTTGCTGAGAAAAGGAGATAGAGAAAAAGGGGGAAAATCAAACGATGAACCTGATGTTGTTCACAGAACAATGGACAGGCCAACCCAAAGCCCAGACCTCAGAAACACTGAGTGTATTTGCAATTACTTGGACTGTGAGAAGCAGATAAGGCAACATCTAAGGCTGTACTTTGGATGTGTTTTTACAAGACACATGGAAAAAATATCATTGAGGCTTGTCTGAAATTTCTCCAAAACACCTTTTCCTGATGCTGAAAAATGATTCATTTTTCCTTAACTGCCATTTTGACTGGAAATTAAGCAGATGAAGGGTGGTCTCTGACGCAAAGTTGACGTTCTGCACTTTAACCTCAGTTGTTCTTTAGCTTCAGATCAAGAGCTGAAACAACAAATCAGCTTTGTCCAGATGTTTACAGGCTGCAAATCTAATACAGATCATATAAACAAGTTCTTTGTTGTACTTTTAGTTCTTTCTAACCGTAAAGCTGGACGGGTAGTCATGGTTTCAGAATGTAGTTGGCCTGGTAGTCATGTCATCGGTATGGAGATTGGCACTCATCCCTTCTCTTTTTTTGGACTTTTTTTTCAGGTTGGATCTTTTCTCAAGTCTCCAAAGTTCCCTATATGGATTCTTGGCAGCGAGACTCATCTCTCTGTGTTCTTCACCAAGGTGAGTTACTTGGGGAGGGAGCTCTTCCGTTTTAGCATTTATTTTCCTGCTGTATCACTCGCTTTATACCTTAAAATAGAAGAGAATCTACAAACACCAAACTAGAAATCTTCTTCATTCTTCATCTCAAGCTCACACAGAACAGTTAAGATGCATATCAGTGATGAACAGCAGCTTAGGTGTCACCATTGATCATTTACGTCAGAAGTGTCTCTTGCTTAGGTCCTTTATCACTCTCTCTTTCTCTCACTCGCTTCACTCGCTTTCCCTCTTTGGTCCCTCTTTTGCTTGCTCTGGCAGACAGTAGTTCTCTCCCTCTTATTTCATTACTGAGTAAAGCCTCAAAACACAAGAATGTGCTTGGTAATAGACTTAAAACTCTAGACGATTTTTTTATTTTTTTTTATTTTTTTTTAGTGAAAGAATAATAAGATAAAGCGGGGAGCTGTGGAACGTATGAAAAGAGATGGAGAGCGCTTTTTGGACTTATAAGGCAGCCAGTGTGGTGTGTTCTGGCGGCAGCCTTCGCAGCATGCCGTCAGGTTTGGCAGTAACACACAAAGTCTTTTGCAGATTTAGGCAAAAAAAAAAGAGAGTATTTGTGTGAATGTCAGTTTGTGTAATAGTTGATGTGTAAATGGCCTGTTGTTGATGGATCTGAAACTTGTTCTGCAGACTGCAGTGTTTCTCTGTCAGTCTTCCATCAAAAGAATGCACTGCTGAACTTCATTCATGTCCTAAGGCAGTACTGTAAGTAAGGGCTGTGACGCACCAAGCCAAGAGTCGGCTGTCAGACACCATTGAGCTGTAGTAAACGTGGGAGCTCAAGTTTATGAAGGTCCAAGTGTAAGGGGAAATGGAGAACCACCCAACCACCCATCCAGCCTAACACCATCAACCTTCCCAACAAGGTTCCCACCCAACCCTGCCAGACCCCTTTATCCATGTCCTAAGGCAGTACTGTAAGTAAGGGCCGTGATGCACCAAGCCAAGAGCCGACTGTCAGGCGCCACTGAGCTGTAGTAAACGTGGGAGCACAAGGTTATCAAGGTCTGAATGTAAGGGGCAATGGAGAACTACCTACCCACCCATCCAGCCTAACACCCTTAACTTTCCCAGCTAGACCCCTTTATCCAAGTCCTAGGGCAGTACTGTAAGTAAGGGCCATGACCCATCAAGCCAAGAGTCGGCCATTGGACGGCATCAGGCCATCAGTGAGTGTTGGTGGCCGACAGTCGCCTTTAATTTGCTCTAATTGGTCCTCATTAGTGCTATTTTGGCTGATTAAGCATGTTTAATAGGCATTGACTGTTGGCCTTGGGGGGAGAGCTGTGAATCAGCACATGAAGAGAGAAACAAAAGAGAGCAGAGCAAGCAAATGACACTCTCAAGAGGGCACACAGCCAGGGGATAGCCTAACTTTCCAGCGCCAGAGCAAGTAGCAAAGTTTTATCACTACCCACAGACATTGGAACTAATTTTGCTACTTGACTGTATGAAATTTGAAAAGAGCAGTATGTGAGCATCGTGTTCCCAATGAGAAATGATGGGTTTTATTTCACTGTTTAATGTGGAAGCTTTTACTTAGCCACCGAGTGCCAGGCTAACGGTGTTGTACTTTTCCCATCATACTCTGGGTTTAACTTAGACATGGACACTTGACGCTTAAAAGACATTCAAACAATATGTTCTTTACTTCGTTTGTTGCAGCTGAACTGCTGCCTGACGCTGCTAGAGTTGTTGTCTTTTATGAAGACACAGTAGTCATGTGCATGTCGACCATCAGCTGTGGTCATTGTGGTATGTTAGAATTGCCACAGGGGACAAGAGGTGATGGTGAGCTGACAGAAGGCGATTGTTGCTTGGCCCTAGTTGGCTCTAGTTTTTCAGGACGCTAAGGGTGGATAATGTGGAAAATATAAAACCTTATGGTACGTAAAGACAGTTTCACAAAAAAACTATTTTTTTTTAGGTTTGCAGGCAATTTGGTATGGACAAAGTGCAGCAGATGGTAGTGTTACGTTAAAAAATTAGTGTGAGTGTTTTAGGGCCACTGTTAATAAAAATAAAAATAGTAGACTTTGAGAAAAAAGTTATAATATTTAGAGAAAAAAAATCGTAATATGTCAAGGGAAAAAAAGGAGTAGAATTACGACATTAAAGTGGCATTAATACCAGGAAAGGTCGCAATATTGTGGCCAAAGCCTTTGAAAAGGGAAGCAGCACCTCCTCGTGTTAAATGAGGGGCGTTGAGTTGGTGGAGTTATACTTTCGTATCAATTTGGCCCATAAAGAAACACTAAATCTCCCTGTCTCTCCTGCACATCAGCACCAGCCTGTTATTAGTATAAGAAACGGCTGTGCAGGAAACTGGTTATCTAGAATAAAGAGCCAGACGGACTCGGAGGAAACTGCCTGTCTGTTTTGTTGAAGGAGAATCGCAGGCAGGGTCGTCTACACGGCTATCAGTGGCTACATCTCCCCCCATTCAAAGAGGGCATGAAGTTTCACAGACAGTGAGAATGATGATCAAAATGATCCACAGAGAGACAGGAGTGAGAGGAGCTCCAGCGCCAGTACAGCAACCGAGACCCCAACGCGTTATGGCAGCCCCCCTACAGTACAGCAGCCCACTTTATCCTCCAAATATTACAACTTTTTTTCTCAAAATAGTACAACTTAATTCTCGAAGTCTACTGTTTTTATTTTTATTAACAGTGGCCCTAAAACACCGTCATAAAAAATTGCTATACCAACTATGAATGCATTCATTTTTTAATTCATTTTTGCAAAAGAAATGACCAAAAGAAAATAGAGCTTAAAAGAATTACACAGTGCCTTAAAAAGTTGCTGTTTGCAAGCTTTGAATGGCAATGATATACTCAGAAAGCATATTGAGATGTTATCATTTCAGTTTCTTTCTTGTCCTGGACCTGTAAACCCTTTGCAGTCCCTACCTCTTTCCCAGCTCTGCACTGTCCCTCAATCTTATGTCAGTTCTTTTCACACTATAACTTATCATCACATTGTCCACCCCTTTACTGTAAGCTAGTGTCTTGCAAATGGCAAATCATATTTGTTGGCCAACACAAATTTGTTTCCAGCCGTTGGTGTCTCTCTAGTATTGTATGCAATATGCAGACAACGGCCATATTATTTAGTCAGTATGCAATATACACAGTACACACAGTATACAAGCAATATGTAGACAATAATATACATACAGTGTACATATGCTTAACAGTCAGAAATACATAATATACAAGCAATATAAGATTATATAGGGCAAACAGTATACATAAGTGTGCGTGGTAGTGCAAACAACAGTGGTTCACTGTGTTTGAGTGTGTTGCATGCGTGCACATGTGCATATGTGTGCTATCCCCTGTGTTAAAAGAGGAAATGTTTGTTTCTCATAAGGGCTTCCACCTGGAGGAAAGAGAGATTGACTGCAAGCATTAATCACCACACAGCACTCAGAGCCATTACTGTCAGTACATTATCTTCTTCCGGTCTCTGCTAGTGTGTACTGAGGCCTTCCTGTCAACAGTTTCTCTCCTGATGATAAATACTCTTTGAATGGTTGGATGGTGATTGGCTGAGAGACTACACCCATGTTAAAACCATCAGCGTCACCCGCTTACATTCTGACAAATTCTCAGGTAACAAGCTTCTGCTATGGAAAACGTACAGACAGTGGCAAGGGCATTTGACAGCACTGCTTTTCTCCCCATTTATACGTGACATGGCCAGTGGTGCAGGGTGTCAAGCTGAAGGTGATTCAACTGCATTGATTTTGGTCTGTTAGAATCAATTAGAATTAAGTTTGTGCTCATTTTTGGACACAATAGAATCTTTATAGTATCTGGCAATTTTTAAATGTAAAAATAAAACAACGGTTTGTGTGTTTTTTTTTGTATCTATTCATCTGTTTACTTCGCTGTTTGGCCACACCACTATTTTCAGGACCAGGTGAATCAAAGCACCTTCCATTTGCTGTACAGTTTGATGTGTTCTAGGGATGGGCGATATGATCTCAGACCAAAATTATGTTGTTTTCTACTGTTCGAACAATAATGATGTGACATAATGATATTAAAAAGAATATATTTAACCCTTAGGACCCGAAGCAAAATGGTTTGTCACTTCTAGCCTTGATAACTTCAGAATGGTTTAAGATACAAACATGATCCACATTTCAGGACATTCAGCAGACCTGCTCCTAACTAGCGAGCATGACATCATCGAGCTGTGACGTCAGCATCAGTGAGTAATTCAACTCATAAAATCACCTAAAATCCTGATATTATTGCTCTGCTTTTTGCCCTTCATATTCCAACAAAGGGTTAAAACAGCGACATGATTCACACATCAGATCACTCATCAGACTCTGACCTCACAGTCCAGAGTGATTTCATCCATCAGGACAGAAAATCAATAAAAAAAAAACATGGCCGCCTTATGCTAATTGATTTATTTTTACTCATAATAATCAACAGAATTAATCACCATCAAAATTATTGTACTTTCAGCTCACAGACACTCCAGACTAACCATTTCTGAAAAGATAACTACAACTGCACTTGTTTCCAAAATCTGTTTCATTAAAAATTACAGAATTTAGCAGGCGCTAGGTGAATTTTTAACCCAAATTCATAAAGATATCAAATTTCTGTTAGCATTAATGTGTCAAACAATGGTATATCTGAGTAGCCCAGGGTCTCTTGAAAATAACAACATATGGCATGTATGACTGTAAATACTGTATAATTGCTATTGTAATTGACTAAAAAAAAACCCAAAAATTCCCTGAAATTTTAGGTTTCTAAGGGTTAAAACAGTATAATAAAAATAACAAAACATGGCAATAATGATAATTATTAGTAGTATTGTCATACAGCTGCTATTATTGTTACATTTGCTGTTGTTGTTGTTGTTGTTGTTGTTGTTATTATTATTATTATTATTATTATTATTATTATTATTCAGGGCTGAAAGAT